TATATAATGCTAACTGCAGCCATAATTTATGCACAGAGATTATATATAAATAATTCAGAAAAGCTTTCTCTTGCATTCTTAATTAGACATATCTAAGTTTTAATCATTTGAACATTTGTAAGAATCTAAAACAGATTTCTGAATTATACCATACTTGAAGTGGGATCAAAATCAGTGTTAAGTTTGTTTGTTTAAATGTATTTGCCTGAAAGCCAAACCCCTGGACATCAACAAAGAAAATACAGCTTTCCTAAAGCTAGCCGCTGATGGCAGAAATTAGCTTTATTCACACAAACTGACTTCCTAAGCCTACCGGTAAGTTTGGAGTTTTTTTGGTTTTTGTCTTTTAATGAGCTGATATTTATGCCGTTTCAACCATAGGCAGAGATGACCGATGATGGAAATCTGCTCGTTTAAGTACACTCTCCTCATCAAGGGACGCAACAGGAAATTCTCAAGAACAGACTTACGCAAAGCGTCAAGAAAAGAACACAGCTAGTATCTTCATTACAAAAAGCCCCACCTTTTTACTTAAGCAGCAAGAAAATCTTGTTTTCCTTCCAGTGGAAGTACTATTTAACATAATTTCCCTCTTATTCATTCAGGGAGACCTGACTTGCACTTTGCACATTTATGTCTCCTCCTTAGGTAATTGTTTGACTTGTGGGAAGTAGGAAGATGTTAAGATGCAGCATATTTGGTACTCATGTTGAAGAAGGCAGGCTTCAGACAATTTCATCTTAATTACTAAAACCTACTACAGCTGTATTACAGAATAATTGCATACATACATAAAAGCTCAGCCAAATATTACTATGCTGTACCCTTATCCAAGAAAGGAAAAGTAGGCGGCTAAGCTGGGGGCCACATCTACCTCTAACTGATTTTAATATACTCTGAATAACGCACTTCTGAGGGTTTCCGTGGGATGCTCGACTCTTCAAAACTAGGTATCTACCTGCTAAAATGAAGATGTTGTTCTTTGTGAGTACCACTTAAAAACAGCGAGGATGGAGAGGCACCCAAGCTAGCGCTGATCTGGGCAGAATTAACCAGAAAGGCTTACATGCTGCTAACTGGTCCATCAAGCTGCCACCTCAGAGTCACAGACTGGCATCTGGTTCGCATGCTGCCTAGACTGAAGATAGAATCAAACCTTTTTTGCTCTGTAGGGACACCTCAATTTTATTAAGTCAATGGTGAACTAGCATCATATGCAACAAAAATAACACAGACAGCAAAAGACAAATTGGATAACCTGCTAAGTCTTTTCCAGATCCATGTAACATAACTTTTGTACATATCCACCTAGGACACCTTGAATTTTTGTTGTGCAAAGTTACTTAATGTTTTGAAAATATGCCAATTTTTCCTTAACGAAGGCCCTCCCAAGTCTTAGCTTCAACACGATTTCCCAAGCGTAGTAAACATTTTAATTTGCCAGAGTATTTCTGTGCTGCATTAAGAGAGGACTGTAGTCAGGCTCTGAAAGGAAAAGCAGTAGCTTAAATTCACCTGATTGCTTTTACCTCGTGACATTTATTGGTAACTTCTTCTTGGTTTTACATATGCAAGTTGCAATAAAGAACTCCCTCCTCACGAGAGGAACACAAATCTTGGAAAATAGAAGGCTCATATACTGGGATTACAGTTCAACTGCAAAAGGCAAGCGTTAGCAAAGCAAGTATTGTGCCTCCTCTTTCTCAACCTGAGTAAGTGTTGTAAGAGTAGTGTAATCCTTAATGCACTAAGCAATTAGAAAAAAAAAAAAAATTAAAGCTGCCAAACAGAATGACTACCATATGCAAAATTGCTTGCACCAATCTTCCTTAAAATTCAACTTTATCCTGCTTCCACTAATTTCAAAGGCAGAAATCCCTGTACCTCAAAGTAAGTGGGATTAGGACGGGGCCCCTAGAAAGAGAGCAAAATTGTATTAAACTCTGCTTCATCTCATGAAAACAAACTCTGCTTTCACAACTTGTCTAGTGTTTCAAGGAGATGATATTTCAAATGAAAAAAAGTGAACATTAAAAAAATCCCCAAAACAAAACTTCTTCTCAACAAATCCATTTCACAGCCAAAGATAAAGAGCGTCACATACAGAAGTCCTGGCATTTTATTAGACTACAGCAATCAACAATTTCACAACGATAACAACAAAACCATTTAAAAAAATTGGATTTTAATATATCCTCTTACTAAGTCTTCTGTGATTGACTTTAGTTATTCAGGCTGCAAGAAGCTTAGAAACATTTATTTGAAGGTAATTGTTGTGATGCTGATTTATAACTCATAGCTTACTACAGTTGTAATAGAGTCACGCATTAATTGTATGCTCGAAAACTGTTACCGCATCTATAGAGAGTAAATGCATTTTATGCTAAGGAATAAAATATAGGTATTTTAAAGGTGTATTCTATCATATTGTGCAATAGGCCTGAAAGCCTTTGAACTGGGCAGTATTTTAGCTGAAGTTTCGTTCCTGAATTATGTAGTTCAGTACCAACAAAAAACTATCTGTGAATTTTGACAAAATGGGGCAACTTGTTTCATCCTTATTCACATCAAACCACAGTTGATTTTTTAGAAACAACTTAAAAGGAAAAAAAACACTTTAGAAGCTTTTCTAGTTCTTCATTTAACATCAAATTTAATGGTTTTCTGTCCCAATTATTTGTTCTTAATTCACTCATAAAATAAACTTCAAGTCACTTGTTTTAGTTCTACTCCCAAGTTCCATGGCATGGGACGCAGGATGCTAGATCCATCTCCCCCCATATTGCAAGTCTTCAAAATAAACTACATATGCAATGCATAGAGAAGGCACTAGTAACAAAGTACAAGTTTTTTTTTTTTTTTTAAAGAAAAAAAAAGGGGAGAAACCAGGGCATCTTTCTCTAGTTTGACCATATGGACTGAACGGTTATTTCTCTGACCTGAAGTTAAATGCCTAAGATAAGTCTCAGTTGATTTCCATTACTTTTTTTTTAAATTAAGAAAAAAAAAAGTCAAAAACAAACAAACAACACCCCTAGAACACCCCATAGTTTTCATGCTTAGAATAAAAATAAATAAATAAACTGCCAAGGGAAAAAAACAACATAAATCAATTGCTAACAGCACTGACCTTGTTGATATATTAACTAAATGAAGTCTCAAAATAGCAGTAGAGTAATTTATGGTAATCTCTCACATACTTTACAGATTTGCATTTGGGAATGGTAACATCAACATATAAAACAATTTCTCACAGCCTGTAGCTGGTACTCTAGAAAGCTAAGTATGAATTGCTCAGAGTAGTTCAATACAGCTCACATGCACTGCGATTCCAAAATTATATTTTGTAACTCATAATCAGCTACAAAAATATTACAAACTGAATACGCGCAACATTAAAAGGCAATTTCTTCTTCCTATTGACTGTTTATCAACTGACAACTTAATCTGTTGAAATTAAAACAATTGACATATTTTACGGTGATTGGTAAATCTGCCGACCATAAGTAAAATTATTGTGCTCTATTGACTTAAAGTCTCTTAATCCAAGCAGCCAATTTAATGTAGTAATTCCAAAGAAAGACAATGCAACTTTCAATAAGGTGTGTTTAATGAGACATTAAAAGGTTGCACCATTAAGTTACAGTTGAATATGTTCACATTAACTCTTCCCTCCAGTATGTCAGAGGGAAGAATCTGCTTTAGTTACACAATAAAATAGCACAGCACGTCATAGAAATGATGGCTACCGATCTACATTTACAGAAATATACATCAAAGATATTTTATTCCCTCTCTCTCACTCCCTGCTCAAACCTTTAATTAGGCAAGAACGACAGGACCAAACCCTCAGCTGAACCATTTGGTATGAATTCACTGATATTCAATGGAAATATTCCTGTTTAAAACTTATGTGAATTCTGCCCATTGCCTCTCTTATTAATGTTTTATTAAATAAGCACCACCAAAACATTAATTCGCAAAACAGTACTGGAAGGTTCAATCAACAAACAGTGGTAAAATTCACGCTCATCTTCATATGCTGCATCTTCTGTTTTTTTAACAACTGGAACAGTTGCTCACTACTCAAATTTACTCTCAAACTCTTAAGTCCATTTGGTCCACAGTGACTCTAACTTATGGAAATATATGGAATTTATGGAAACCCACAGTAAAGCTAATGAGAATATAAGCCCCAAATATTATATTACCTTAACAACATTGCAATAGAGGTTAGTTATGTGTTAACAAACATGTATGAAAATGCGTAACGCATAAGGACCACCACCTTCAGGGGACACTAAATTAGTTACACAAACGCAAGAGGCATCTTTTATGATAACACATACAATAAATTTTGCACATCTGCTGTATCCCAGCGTTCCTACGTATTAACCGAAAAACTTCACTGATGACCAAAATTCCATTTTGTACAGGAAAAAGGGTCATTGCTGCTGATAAATGCAGCTAGCCTATACGCTGTGAAATGCTTGTCCAAGGCTAGGAAAGGTCCAGGTGAAAGTTTTGGGCTATATGGTTTTTCTTTTGAAATTAATTGCCTAACTATATTAAAAGGAGAAGGAGCATCAGAAAGGATACTCGACCAGTCACTATGCCTACAGACTGGTCAATGGCACTCAAGAGCAATTAGCTAGCAATACATTATGGTAAATACAATTTCTACTAAGATATGCATTGGAATGCTCTTTTACTGGTTGAGGGCACTGCACAGGCTCTACATCAAAAGAGAGGGATCTGTATTTTACAGAGGTGGAATTCCAATTGCTTGTAGCAGCAGAAGACCTCACAGAAAGGTGGACAGGGTGAAAAGACTAAAGCAAGAAAAATCACACAGGCTTCTCAATCCAATACAAACCTAATGTTAGAGAGCCTAGGATGTCTCATTTTCTCAGCATAACATGCAACAAGGGTGGTATTTCCTTCCCACATTCTTACCTGGATAAAAACTCGGAGAAGAGAGATGGTAGGGGAAGGCTTACCTTTGGGAGAGACTATGTGAAGCAAGATCAAAGTTGTGAAGAAAATAACCAAAAGTAGAGCTGTGTGGCTTTCAATTTGCTGGACTTCCAGAAAGAACAGCAGGGCTCGTCAAGATGATACAGAGCTCTGCAAAAGAGCTAACGACACTTCAGATGAATTGAGAGCTCTGAGAGAAGAGCTAGGGAAGAAATTGAGAAAAATGAAAAGAAATTAGAATAAGGTCATAGGTACATCTATAATGTAGATGCATAGAAGGTGAAGAATATTTAGTTGTTATGGTACCTAAGGAGCAGAGGGTGGCTGCAAGAGAACTAGGGCTGTGAAAGTAGTTCTGAGACATGAGGGATCCAAAATTTGCTGAGGCTTCAGAGGAAAACAAACGTTCAGAGCAGGAAGGGATAGCAGCTGTGCAGAAAGGGGAATAACCAGAATTCAGAACAGAACAGGAGATTGTCTGGCCAGTATGGTGGAGCAAAGTCAGAAACACATAGCAGTAGTTTGAAGCAGGAAAGAACTGGTGATAACGAGGCACCAGAAGTACCTATCTCTAGAAAAGCACTGTGGGCTTCCACAGGTGGGGAAAGCTCTGGGGTTGATGGCGTGTGAGCATGGAGGATGGAATCTGAAAGAGTACACGTGTATTTGGGAAGTAACAGATATTGCTGCTGGAAATGGCTATAGGAATGAGCAGAAAAGCTTGTGTATGAACCGCAAGGAAGACTAGAATGAGTAATGCCCCTGGGTTTCTTTCTTTCCCAGTGCAGTGATGTCTCCCTGTTCCAGCAGTTGGCTAATGTCTTGTTTAAGAAACTGAACTCCAGAGCAAAAAGGGCTACACAGTTAAACCAGAAAAGTCATACGAGAACTCTGAGAAGCTGAAGAACAAAGTTACCTTCTAGAATTAAAATGTAAGTTTATGAGAAAGTAGTTTACTTTCTTATGTTTTGGAAAAAAGGTATCTGTGTTGTTTCAGAGGAGTTCTTGCAACCCTAATGCATTTCTTACTCCACAAGAAGAGAGCAGGAGAGAACCAGTAAGCTAGATCTTAGGGAAGCACAAAATAAATCCACCTTTACGTGTTTCAAGTCTCACTCCTCCAGCCAGCACCTGCAAGCCCCATGAGACTACCCACACTGCTGCTGGCTGCTGCCACCTTTTGGAACCAGTTTCCATAGAAACGGAGCTCTGGGAGGCAGAAATATGGCAAAGGACAGTCAACTATCTCCCTGGTTTGGAGTCTGTCAAGCACAACAGTCCACCATCCGCTACCATGGAAACACGAGGGGAACTCATCAAGATCTGGCGTTCTTCTATTAATGAAGCAAAAACTTGATTTTACAATAACTGATACCCTGATTTATCGGAAGAAAAGTTAAAGCAATGGTATTATTTAGTTGCAGTATCCTTAAAAGGAGTGGTCAAGTTGTTCATATACTACTTGAAGCAGTTGAAGTCAACGCAGTCTTGCTCACATATGACACGGAAGAACCTTTGCCCTTTAATGGTTTTGTTCTCAAGAAGTTTCTACAGTTAATATGAGCCAATCCACAACTCTGGCAGATCAGGCAAATACACCACACAAATGCATTGCAGTTGATATTCACTTAAGGACTAGCCAAGTCCTTAAGAGAGACTTCTGTTTTAGTAGTTGTTTCTTTAAAAGTTACTTTGACAGAGATACATGCTCCTTTGCATTCCAAACTAACTTCATCTAGCAAGTCTATGGACAGAATTTTGCATTAACTAATTACCACTTAGAGTAGAAAATGATGCAAAAGTGACTGCATGAAAAAGGCATTCAAAATAGTGTTCTAAAACTGTTCATCTAGCCACAGTACTAACACCAAGTTAGAAAAGGGACAGTTTGCTTACAACACTTTAGAGAATTGGTATTTTCACTATTGAAATGTTACTCTTTAAACCTGAGCATCAGGTTTAAAACATCAAAGTTTAAACCTGAGCATCAGGTTTAAAACATCAAAGTTTTGCCAATTATTTCAGTGCATACAAACAAAGAAGTACAGACAGGACACACTCACCCCACAAACAGGGAATACAGATAGCAAAGCAGAACTTTACACGTTAAAAGCTCACACGTCTGCTACCCCATCCCCCCTCCCCCTTTTTTGAAAATGAGTTTGTGGCATCTTCAGACCCCTCGGCAAACATCTGCCGGCACTCAGGGAAACAAACCAACCAACACGCCAAATACCCCAACAGCCTAGAGGCAAACCAGAAAAGTACATACATAATTTGGAGAAAGCAGCAGTATGTACTTAACAGAGGCTCTGAACTGGAAGAGTGCAGTAACTACGCACTAGGGCTACTGGAAACGAGCACTGCTGAGTGAAGGCTTCCAAAGGAACAAGCCAGTACTAAGCCCAATTCTACCCAGTCATTTTAATTTCAAGATATTTATATCCAACCCATTTAGCTAGAAGGGATCTTTTCCCCCCAGTGCTACATTGTTTATTTTCTAAAATTCAGAAATGAGGAAAATTCTGTACTATAAAGTAGAGAACGACACAGTAATAAACTCAAAGAGCAGCTTTAGCCAAAATGGTAAACATTCAACTATATGTGATTATTTTCTCAATAGAGAAATTCAAATAAAAACAGTTCACTGCAACAGAAATTGAAAACAAGTATTCCTTCCATACCAAATATGCTGAAGATATAACAAAGAAGAAACTGAGGATATACAAAAAAGTAATTTAAGCATCTTTTATTACCTTTGTAACAAAATATTTATGCTCTGAAAAACAGTAAAATACAGCACAAAAAAACCAAACAGATGACTTTTCTCAGTAATTAGTACACTGGGTATTGAATAAGTTTCTGTGGATTTGGAGTTGTCAGGCATCCTCCATATTTTACGTGAAAGCAGTTTTAGGAAAGACAGGGTCTCATTAGAAATCCTAATTATAATCAGAAAAAAAAATACACAAATATACATTTCTCGAGGTCATTAAGGATAGTTGTAGCAGATCCTGTTCTCAAGATGTCTGGGTCTCTGTTTAAGTTAGGTAACAGAACACCAAGACCACTGCATATTTTCAGCTTTATCTGGCACCAAGTCTACTGTCAAAGGACTTAGCTACACAGTAACACCCAGGCAGAAGGTGATGTATTAGCAAGATGGAGCCAGTGCTATTGAAGTCTTTGATTTGATGCTTTTTACAGTTAGGCAATATTGAAGGTAACTCAGTTTCTGCTGGAACCATGAAATGTAATCGACAGACAACAGAATCCAGGTGAGCAAGGAGCAAATAAGAAATTAGGAACTCCTGAATTTTAGATATAGCTCCATCACCAATTTACTATTCAGTCTCTAGAACATTTTAAACTCTGGTCCCACGACAGTCCTTGCGAGATTCTGCCAGTCATTTTGACTGATGCAAAAAAAAAAAGAAAAGCGGCTGCTCTTCCTATCTGTAAAATGGGAACAAAAATTATTCCTAAAATAATAGGGGGGATTGTGTTTCCATAACCAAAGCCTGGAACAAATGATGAATTAATGGGCATTATTCCTTTTACAGTTTTTCAAGAAACCTTTTCAGGTTAGGATCATTTAAAAATTAAATTCATACCATTTAAACCTCATGAATCACATTGAGATAATCTCCTGCCTGCTCCAATTAGCATCAATGCCAATCCTCAAAATTGCCAATCTCAATGAGAAGAAGAAAGTATACATCTCCCTATTTTTAAACATTAGGGCAGAACAAAAATATGTTTGTCTGTTACTGTACGCATGTGAATATGGGCACATGTGTGGGTAAACACGTCATTTCATCATTTTTAAAGACTAACTTTAAACTATGGTATCACATTAAATGAGTAATAACAGATGTCCTTTGCAGCACCTTTTCTCACATGACACAGTTTTATAGAACTTTGAACACATTTCAATAGCTTTATGTACGTAAGCCATCATATACCACATGTTCATTTATTTCTACACCTCTCTACTTTGGGTTTAAGACTAGTAACTTGCACTCTCACATTCTTTAAGAGCTTTTTAATAAGAATTTCATCATTTGTAATTTACACACATGATTTACATATTCTAAAATTTAGAAAATGGAATACATGTTTTTCTTTAAAAGAAAAGGTCTTTTACCTAAGCATTTGAAGGGGGGTTTACTGTGAATGCCCGATTTTTAAGAAGAAAGACGAACAAAACCTATTGGGAACACGCTATTCATAAAACTTCTAATCATTACTTGACCCGAAACTGCGATATAACAAACAAAATAGTAACACCCAAAGGTTCCTTTATCCTCATGCTGTGAGAAGACTTGAGAGTTCTTGCAACAAGCCAAACCCCAAAAGCACACAGCAGAATTTTAAATACATTAACACCTTCTGATGATTTTATATTACTGATATATGCCACACACAGAAAGGGAAAAAAACAGCAATCAACTTCTTATTGATCCTATATTTTATCTTGGCAGTATTATTTTGAAATTAACCCATAACATTAAAAGTTAGACATAAAACAGGGTTTGAAAAGAAACTATACAGGGAGGAGAAGGAAAACTGCTGAGGATGGGTCTCACCTTCTGACGGACAGCTCTTTCACTACTGCCGTGATTCCTGTTATTTATGATTCACAAAGCGTTCTCTAAAATAACACTAGCGATGCTGTACTTCAAATATGAAATTGCTGCATGTTACACTTAACAGTCAAAAGCGGCACTAGAAAGGGTGCATTTTGGTTGGTGCAAAAGCATTTGGAGAGAGATGAAGTGGACGCTTGAGATGTTCGCCCAACAACACGGGCGGCTGCTACTCATTTCCACAGCACAAGGCGTCCGACTCGTTAATTATCAGCGCAGCATCAGCACAGGCAGGACGGGCATCTACAACCTTTGCATGTTACGAGCACAATCAATGAAAGACTAAGGCACTTATTACACAGTTCGAGCAGGCAGTATAATATTTAAGGCAGAGAATGGGGGGGGAGGTTTCCTTGTATTTGATTTGAGCAATTAAAACACGTAAACTCCACATCGGCCGAGGCAAAGGTGCGGGCGCTCAGCAGAAGAATGTCACACGGTTCACAGCGGGGAAAGAGGGACCGCTCGGCATAACGCAACCCTCTCCCCGGCTAGCGTCAGCACTCATCA